TTAATTCATGTAACGATCAAGTTTTCTCTCAGAGAATGATGGAAATTTTTCGACTTTCTTTTAACATGAATAACAAGTCAAACTTATGAAGATTATAGAATTCATTAGAACGAGAAAATAAATAATGGAAACTGATTAAAATTGATTCAAGTCTACACTATTTATATTGTATTTTTCTTTTAAATTACTTTTATATTTATTTTTCTAGTAGATTTAAAAATAATCAAGACTTCCTATCAATCATGTAACGAAATAGTTTTTTTTTGCAATCAGTAACCACAAAAAAGGTTTTTGAGTAAAACTGCGTCTTACGACATCTTTTGCCAATAGAGCTATTTTTTTAAAATTTGAATATCTTTGTCAATATAGGAAAAAAAAAATTCTCAACCTTGGGATTAATATTCCTTTGCTCATGAGGAACAACTTTTGTCACGGAACAACACAAGAAATTTTAAGTTTAGATAGTGAAAATTGTCATTTAGTGAATTCTTTTCGTTCTCCTTGTATTTTACATAGTCTGTTCTTATTAGGAACATTGACTGTACGAAAAACTGTTCTGTTCAAATTATCTGTTGTAGGCCTTTCAAAGATTTCCTTACTAATCTCGAGAGAAAAAAAGTTTACAATTTCTGAGCACATATTCGGAAGAGGCACACAATTCTGGTGGTAGCCCCTAATTCTTTCACTCGTTCAGAATACTTTCAAGAGAGTCAAAAAAGGGCAAACATTTTGTCAAAAAACTTTTCGATACCCTGTTTTCAACTTTCTTTTGCTTTCCTCTTAGTTTATTTCAAATTTCTTTTACTTTCATGCAATTTTTTTTCAAATTTTTCTCACTTCCTTTGTGCTTTCTTTTCTATTTTTAAAACGTTTTTCTTGACAGAACAGCGCAGAAAGTTTAGTGCCTTCTTCTACGATACCAAAAATAGAAAAGAAGATTTTTCGACTTTACTTTCTTTTTAGCGAAAAAGTGAAAATGCCATCTCTGAGTTCATTTCATCTAATATATATATGCATGTAACAACAACTTTATTTTCAATATTATCAGTACAGACGAGTCGAAACTTGTTTACTGATTGCTTTTATGCTTCTCGGACGTGTCGTTATAAAAAAAAGTTCCAATTTCAGCTCGATAAAGCCTTTATTTCATTAATTTTGATCAACCGATCCTCTCTACCCATAATCTAATATTTCGTAGAAGTATATAGTATATTTGGTATTTTGACAATAATAGCTATATCCATCCATATTGGTCTTGCTGTTTCGAAGCAATCGATTTTGCAATACAATATTGTGTAAACTACTGTTAGATTGAGAAAATATTCGACCGAGAACAATAGACGACTCGTTATCAATAAATACGGTAGAATGCAGCATTTGCACTGAAGATTTGTTTTGCTCAAAGTGAAAAGAAACATCCTATTGATTTATAGCTCGTTCATTATGATTTAGACAAAATGTCACGAATGCCTGCTGACGCTCAGTTTCAGCGAAGAGGAAAATCTAATATGAGTGATAAACTTCTTGAAGAAAGAGAAAGTTTATTGAAATCATGAAACATATGCTAGACGAAGAAAACGAGCAACATTCAACATCAACTATTGGTATTCTTATTTAATGAATTCACCTTCAAAGCAGTTCTAGATGATACTTCTTAACGTAGTATTTTACACTTCTTTCATCTGCAGTCAATGTTTGTTTACCGTAAGATGCAGCGATCTTTGGTAGCAAGAATCAATCCCAAGTAATATATGTACAGATATCAAGTATTTCATCAGTATATAATATATACGTCTATATACAAGGAGTTTCAAGAACTTAGATCGCTATCCATCCACTTAGATAGTTCATTTTAACGGTAAGTATTTACAGTACTATAACATTCGTATCGCCTTACGAATAAAAGGAAAAACACGTTTTAAAACCCAATTGTCATTATTGACACGCATTTTACAATCAGTATTCGTAAAAATGCAAACTTGATATTTTTAAAAAAATACACTCTTTTGAGAATTGAATTAGTAGTTTCTAAATAATGACCGAGTAATACCTTGAGCTGATTGTTTCAAAAGCTAATGTACTAATAAGTGTGAACCAATGTTGAACACTTAGTGAATCAATTTGCTTTTAACTTTTCTCTAAGTAGTATCTATAGTAGAAAGCAGTGCTTTACTCTTAAGAGAGGGTCCGCGAGAGGACCACCCTAGGTCACCGGGGGAAAAATTTGTTTTTTTCGATTTTATTTTCTCAAATGATAGGTCTAGGCAAACTATAGTTAAATCCAAAATATTAGGTCATTTGGTTTCACCTGTGAAAAATGCGAGCCAAAAACAAGCTTAAGGGGGTCAAAATTGACCCTAAACAGTCGCTAAAAATGGGTGTGCTCAGTATTTTGATATTTTCTCATGAATGGTTTGATCATTTGAGATCGGGCACCTCTCATTAGATAGGAAGCAGTATAGGCTACAAATTTATCCAATTTTGATGATTCATATCTGGGATAAAAGAAACGTTATAGATCAAAAACCTTCCAAACCTCAAGAAATTCTATACTCTGGGATAGCAGTATTATGAGCTTTTATTGAGTGGTGCAAGCAGTGCCAAACTTCTTCTCTTACCAGATATAGATCTTTTCAAGATACATTGTTTGACATTAAATTGTCAAGGCAAAAAAACTGGGGGACAAAATTAGCATGGACCACACTGTGTCCTACCCTACCTAGTCACGATTGATCCTACCCCACAAAATCATACAATTTCAACAGAAATCATAAAAAAAGACTGCAGATTCGTGTTTAGCTTGAAAAATTTACTTAGATAGGATATTTTAAATTGATTCCTTATTTGTACCAAGCGTATTCAAGATCATGGCTCCACCTTATGGATATATGATAGACATATGAAACGGTGTTTTGACAATAATTCACCAATATTAAGGGCTATCGAGGCCGAGTTTTTACCATTCGATAGCTCTTTTTGAAAGCTGCAAAACTGTTTATTTTCCAAACTCAAAAATCAGTGATCACTTGAGACATGCGTAGCTACATTGGTCTAGGATCGCGATTTTATACGTTTTTACCCCGTATTTAGCCACTTTTTAGTTAAAAGATGACGATTTCAATCAAAATCAAAATCAATGTTATATTCGGAATCAGCATCAAAAACTGAGTCGATTGATATGTTTTAATTATTTTTCAGAAAAGTTTCTTTGTTATGAAAAAACGACCCTGTATTCCCCTCAGGCTTCATGAAAAAATGATTTCTCTCTAAAATGCCATTTATCGTGTGGAACGAAACAGCCCAGCTTCTCAAATATCAATAAAACTAAAATGGCAAAAGTGTTAACGACAAAAATATCATTTTGAGGGAAAACATTTTTTCATGAACCCTGAGGGAGAGTATAAGGTTATTTTTTCATAGAAACATTTTTCTTCCAGAAAGCTTTGAAACATACACGTTTCGACTTAGTTTTTGACGCTGATTCTGAATATCATATTGGTTTTTATTCGATTTGTTGTTCTTTAACGAAAAAGAAGCTAAACAGGGGGCAGAAATGCAGAAAATCGTGCTCCAAGACAAATGTGTCTCACTATGGCTCAGGTCATCAAGAGTTTTAAGCTTGGAAAATATATAGTTTTGTAACTTTCGAGAAGAGCTATCGAATGGTAAAAACTCGGACTCGATAGCCATTAATATTAGTGAATTATTGTCAAAACACTGTTTCATATGTCTATCATATATCCATGAGGTGGACCCATGATCTTGAACACGCTTGGTACAAATAAGGAATCAATTTAAAATATCCTATCTAAGTAAATTTTTCAAGCTAAACATGAATCTGAAGTCTATTTTTGTGATTTCTGTAGAAATTGTATGACTTTGTGGGGTAGGATCAATCGTGACTAGGTAGGGTAGGACACAGTGTGGTCCATGCTAATTTGGTCTCCCAGTTTTTTTGCCTTGACAATTTAATGTCAAACGATGTATCTTGAAAAGATCTATGTCTGGTAAGAGAAGAAGTTTGGCACTGCTTGCACCACTCCAGAAAAGTCCATAATACTGCTATCCCAGAGTATAGGATTTCTTGAGGTTTGGAAGGTTTTTGATCTATAGCGTTTCTTTTATCCCAGATATGAATCATCAAAAATGGATGAATTTGTAGCCTGTACTGCTTCCAATCTAATGAGAGGTGCCCGATCTCAAATGATCAAACCATTAGTGAGAAAATGTCAAAATACTGAGCACACCGATTTTTAGCGACTTTTCAGGGTCAATTTTGACTCCCTTAAGCTTGTTTCAGCTCGCATTTTTCATAGGTAAAACGAAATGACCTAATATTTTGGATTTAACTATAGTTTTCCTAGACCTATCATTTAAGAAAATAAAATCGAACAAAAACTTTTTTTCCCAGGCGACCTAGGGTGGTCCTCTCGCGGACCCTTTCTTAAAAGCTTCGACTAGGATACCTATAACTTCTGAATAATTAGTTCTAAACCTCTGAGCCTCGTACAGTTTTTTAGATGTTCCATCAACAGTTTAAGTACGTAGCTGGCAATTCTGAATTCACTGTAAACACCTCATGGGTAGGTTTTTTTCAAAGAGATCGATTGGAAACCTTTAAAATAATGATGCCAAAAAACCCATGATATATCACTCGATGCATCTTCATCTCCTCTTGCGAACAATGAAAAGCACAGAACTATTTTGTTTCTGTGAAAATTTATTCAAAAAATATCAAATAGACATTAGTATAAGCAGCATATATCATAGAAAAATAGATCTTATTGAAATTTTCTTATTATGATACTCGATGAATAATAATGGAATAGTGTTGAAATGTAGGGCTTTGTTTTTACTACACGTCTATATAAAAACGTTTTCTGAAGAAATATATACGAAATTG